GGATAGGGAGGTGGGGGAGTGTCTAGCTGAGCACAGTGGCATCACTTGTAGTCCCAGCTACTAAGGAGGCTGAGGCAGGAGGATCCCTTGAGCCCACTGTTGGAGGCCAGCCTGGGCAAGTTGGTAAGACCCCATCTCAAAAAGAAAAACCAAAAGGTTCCCAGTATTCCTTTCTGGAGTTACCTTTCACTGATTCCTTTTATTTTTCCTTAATATCCCAATTGTCAAATTTGCCGTTTTTCTCAAAGCATGTTATTCTCCTTATCAACTTTCTCCCAATCAGTTTCCTCTGACCCTCAAAAATGCCACCTCCTTGCCCCCATCTTCTTTTCTGGGGAGTAGCTGGTCCCCCTTGGAACTCAGCACAAAGCCACTGTCTCCCTGCTGGAAGCTCCTCCGACCCTGTGAGTGGTGTGCGACCTTTGCTGAAGCTCCGGCCTCCTTCAGATGTCATATTCTCACAGCACTGGCACACTGCCCCCAATTAAAGGGACAGGTGAAAGGTGCAAGAGGCAGTTCCAGAGAGGAATGCTGTGTGCCTCTGGCTCTTATGTATTACTTATTCATTTTTGAGACAGGGTCATGGCTGTAGCTGTCTGGTTTTACTTGCCTCCCCATTTGACTGTGAGCTGCTTGAGAAAAGGAAGCTGGACTTCATTGGCTCGGCAGGCTCAGAGCCCAGCACCAGGCCTGGCATAGACAGATGCTTGGTGAGTTGGAAAGATGGGGCAGGGGAGGGAAGACAGACAAACTACACCCCCAAGAGAGCTGGGGGTCTTTGAAAAACGAATATTGGATTATGCCATTTCCTTACATAAAAATCTTCAATGCACATAAGCAAAACCCAAACTCCTAAGAGGAAAAAAGGAAAAAGAGAGCTAGGGGTAGAATCATGATGGGGTGCTATAATTTTTTAGCTTAAAGAAATAATAGACATGAAGGGTGGGAGGGAGGCTTTCACTATACACTCCAGGTACCTCTTGATTCTGAAATACACACACACACAGTACAATACTTTATCCTTTCACATATTTCCAGAATGTTCTAAAATGAACATGTGCTTCTTTTGTAAATATTGTTTTTAAGAAAAACTTCAAAATTAAAGCACCTTTGATTATAGTCTTTGCAGTTAGATCTTTGCTGCTTTAAAGTCTTTTTCTCTTGGTGTTCAAATGAACAATTAGAAAAATGACAATTTTGTTGCCCCCTTTTAAAATACACAGCCGTCTTTCTTTCTTTCTTGCTTGCTTTGGATTTAATAATCACTAAGTTGATTTCCCATTTTAACATGTATGAATTGTCTGGGCCTTTTAGTCTTTAGGGTGCTGGAGATTACACCAGAGAGGATGCAGAATCCTAGGGTTCTATCCCACACATCTGAGTCAGCAAGTCTAAGTAGGGCCCTGAAATCTGCATTTTTAACATGTTCAATAGGAGACTGCGGGGCAGGGAAGAGGGGCAGGAAGGGGACTGATTGCTTTTTGAAACATCCGCCCATTACTTATTAAGAAAACTGGATAGGGGGTGGGGATTGAACTCAGGGGCACTCAACCACTGAGCCACATCCCCAGTCCTATTTTGTACTTTACTTAGAGACAGGGTCTCACTGAGTTGCTTAGGGCTTAGCTTTTTGCTGAAGCTGACTTTGAACTCGATATCCTCCTGCCTCAGCCTCCCCAGCTGCTGAGATTACAGGTGTGTGCCACTGCACCTGGCAGGAAACTGTATTTTTAAGTGATAATCGTACATAGTATAGTAGCTCCCCTTAATTGTGGTTTTGCTTGCTGTGGTTTTAGTTACACATAAGTCCAGAAATAAACAATTCATAAGTATTAATAGCTTTCATTAGAGTATATTGTTATAATTATTCTATCATTAGTTAATCACTTACTGTGCCTAATTTGTAATTAAACTCTATCATAAGTATGTATGTATAGGGAGAAACACTGTATGTAGAGCGCTCAGCACTGCCTACAGTTTCAGGCATCCACTGGGGGTCTTGGGATGTACTCCCTGAGGATAAAGAATGTGCACAGAATTTGGCATTGAAAGTGCCCTCTCCTCTGCTGACCTCCCCCACCACAAACTGCTTTCACCTTTCTAAGCTTCTTCCTGGCAGAAACCTCAGAATGTGGTTCTTTGTGCACTCACCTTGTCTTCTCTCTCAGCTTTTTGAGAATGAGATCCAAGCCTTTATCCAGCCCAAAGTTGCAAATGAAAGTGTGTATCAGAGAAACCAAAGCATTTAGTTCAAACTTTACTTTCTTTAGTTTAGGGACCAATTTTCTCTTCTAGTTCCTACTCATCCCCACCCCCAGCTCCCGCAATGCTCAGTCAAGCCACAGCTAAGTCTAGGAGGGGGCTGTTTTATTTTAAAATATGTACATAAATTACTTGTGGTAGCTTTCTATGCCTTTCCCAGGACCTCTGGTGAGCCCTTTCCTCTGTGAATGCTAAAGTGAAAGGAACGCCAAAAGCAGCACAAGTGGTTCAGATAAACATCCCAGTAGGTTTTCCACATTACATAAATTATCAAGTGTGATGCGAAGGGCCCAACTGGATAGAGCAGTGGCTCTATGCTTCCCCCTGGTGGTGAGATGTTCCACCACATCTCCACCCCATCCCTGCACACAGCCAGTGCTTAGTCACCCAGGCTTTGCAGGGGCTTCTTTGCTGTCCCCAGAAGCACCAAGACTAGTACACCTAAAAATATTTGCTGGTGTAAGTGGCAGAAACCAAAACCACATAGTTCAAGTTTTCCTTTCTTCTGCCCAGCTGAAGATCACTGGTTTGTCCAATTGTGTAACTTCTTGATTCTTTATAACAGTTTTTGAGCCTAACCATCTGCACAGCTCAATCCAAAGGCAAATGTGGAAGACCTCCTATGCTCAGAGTATAATCCTAAATCCTCACTGATAAAACTCCCAGGCTTTTAGAAAGGTCATTGCATCTACCAAGAGACACAGTCATCCCTACCCTGAAGTGGACCCTCAGAATGGGTTAGGGCTCCTAGACTGTGGCCCAGAATTATAGTTCAAATGACTGAGCCTGAAGGACAGAGAGGGCTAAGAGAGGACTGAGTGATGGTCCACCAGACTGGAAGACAATCACACAGAGCTTCTAGTGCTCCAAGCCCACTTGGAGCAAGAAATAACCCTGCATGGCAAAAGTTCTTTCAGTAAAGAATTCTCTGAGAAGTGGACCAATCTTGAAACTGGATTCTTTAGGGGTCACTAGAAACACATCATCTTTAATCAGAAATAAATGTGTCCCTTCCCAAGATGGGGAGAGGCAGGGACACACTGGATATCATTTGGAGTCCCCTTCAGAGGCTCCTTTAATAGTCCCTATGAAAAGACAAGATGGGATACTGTAAGCAAAAGCAAAAGCCAATTTACTTGTGAGACTTGGATAGAAATGACCTCACTGGCGCCTACAGGTATCACAGGAACAGAACACACATTCTTTCCCTGATGACAGAGCAGCCTTTAATGAAACTTCTCCCAGGGATAATGGTCAGGCCCTGAGTGGAAAGTCTGAGATCAACAGGCCCAAATTCAGAAAATCAAGACGATTCCTAAAGCTTAATGGTCTGATAAGAACAGCAAATATGTACTGTCCTTTCTCCTCCCTGCTGGGCACAAAGCTGCCTCACACTCCATTCTGCCATGTCACATGGAACCTCTGAGTGGTGATGAGTTGTTCATGGAGAATTCCACCTAAGACAGGTTTAGGGCAATCTAGGCTCTACCTCATTAGAAGCAGCCACATATCCAAAGAATGCTGCTGAGGCTCCTCATAAATCGCACTGAAGAGAAGTCTCTACCTTACTAAGATTATTATAGGGATCCAAACCTCCTTAATTCAGAATCACAGGCATTGTGTTTTAGGGGAAAAGCTGTATTATATGTTTAAAAATAGAAACTAGTTATCTCCTATGACAATTCTATTACCCTGGGCATTGCAATAAAACTTTAATTAGGGAGATTTCTCCCTTGCAATGGGCTTTTTAGAAACAGAGGCCCAGCTACTCAGAAGGCTAAAACAGGAGGATTATATCAAAATAAAAAATAAGATGGGCATGGTGACACATGCCTATAATCTCAGCTAGTCGGAGACTGAGGTAGGAGGATCCTAAGTTCAAAGCCAGCCTCAGCAATTCAGCAAGTCCCTAGGCAAATTAGTGAGACCCTGTCTCAAAAAAACAAAAACAGGGGCTGGGGTTGTAGCTCAGTGGTAGTGCCTAGCATATACAAGGTGCTGGGTTCCATCCTCAGCACCATATAAATGTAAAATAAAGATATTGTGTCCACCTAAAACTTAAGAATAAGTATTAAAGAAACAAAAGGCTGGGGATGTAACTCAGTGGTTAAGTGGCCCTAGGTTCATCCCTCATACCAAAAATAAAAAATAAAGGGCTGAGGGATGACTTTGATAGAGTACTTAACTAGCATGCACAAAGCTTTAGGTTAAATCCCCAGTACCAACAACACAAGAAAGAAGGGGAGGGGGCTAGGTGAAGTAAAGTATCTGGGAAATTCAGAAAGCCTTATGAAATAAATCAGAAAACAAAATCATAATATGATAAAAACTTTCACGTTGCATAGGGATTAATCTGTTTCCCAATCTTTCCACATGCCCAGTTTAGACAGAAGTCCTAGGAGAAAAGATTTCTCTGTCAGCTAGGAGGGTCCTCCTCTCACTTGGATGACTCTAAGGTCAGACTCCAGTGGCAAAGGGCAGAACACACAGCACCCAGCAGGGAATGTTCAACCAGGGCTGAAACACCAAGTTACCCGGTCACAGGATGAGTGAACTCCCCTCGGCACTCCCCCAGAACTAAAACTCCCCTCATGTTCAGTGTTACCAATTGCTTTATTTTGTCCCCTGACCCCTCCCGGCTGGACTGGGTGCTCAGACAATTGGCAACGTGCCTGCTTTTTCATCATCGAATCCCAAGTGAATAGTAGGAAGTTGGCATTGAATAAATGAAAGATAAATCTAAACTAAGAATTTGCTTTAATAAGTAAATCAGGCAAGAAAGAACAAAAATAATTAACAGGCCTCTATTAACAATGTTTCATGAATGTTAAAGTGATGAGTTTCATAACATAAAAATTAACAGAAAACTCTGAAATGAAAACTTACCAAAATTTAAATGACTCAGTAATGTCTTAAGTTTGGACACAACTATTGTTTAAAACTAGAGTCCTTTGACTCATCAGTATGAAAGTATTTGATAGCTTGTGCTGCCCAATTTCAATGAACCCAAACTTGAACTAGAAGAGGAAGGAACACTAAACTCAGGCCTTTGATATTACCCATGCAATTTCTCATCGGTGCCTACAAGTGAAGGACTTAAAGTCCTCAGAAAATATGATACAACCCAATAGCCACTACTAAGTCTGGAATCCAACATCAGCCCTGCTCTTTGTTCACACTCAAGAGTTTTTCTTGCTGAATTAATAGCCACTTATCAATTCCTTGATAACTGACTTTGTGAAATCCCTCTCCATGCCTGTCATTTAGAACTTTGTCTCTTCTTCTTTTACTAATGAGGACAGGACAGTAGAAGAATTGAAGATGGTAAGGGACAATGAATGGGACCTGTTTCTGAAAAGAAAATGTTAAAGACATTTTACATTTCAATATCATTAATGATCAAAAAAAGCAAGAATTAAAGCAGAAGGTAAAACAGAAACAAAAACAAAAACAACCCCAAAATTCGGGGGAAAAAAAGCTATAAATATTGACTTAAAGAGAACATTTAACATACAGTCCTGCTGTACCTAATCATTATTTCAAATAGCTCAATACTTCAAAAGGACAATCTCCCAATGCCTTCCTAGTGCTCCAAGTCATCTCTCAAATGACAAGACAAACAGTTCTCCTTTTTTGAGCAACCTTTATAAACTGCACCAGCCCTAATGGGCATGTCTTTTAGAGAATTTCCCCAAAGAGAAGTTCAAAGATAAAACTGCAGCAGTAGGTCAGGGGAAACACGCAGCCAGAGCCAACCCGCAAGCTGTCCTTAGTCCTGTGCATCTGAACCCAAGTCCGCACTCCAAGGATGGGAGGGTTGGTCCTGGGCGGGCTGCAGGACAGTGGAGCTGGGTCCTATCTGCCTGCCAGGGGTCTAAACTGCAACTCGCGTTCCAACTGCTCTGCTGTCAGGGTTCCCTGGATGGCTTCGCAGCCTGGGTTGAACACAGAGTAGGCACTCTTCTCTCCCTTCTTCCTGTCCTCAGAGGCTCGGGTCCCTACATACATCCAGTAGAACAAGGACAGGACAAAATAAGCCAGGCCAAATTCCAGCTCCACAAACAGTCCCAGGAGGACCAACCAGAGAAGAATCTTCAAGAAGGTGACATTGGTCAGGAAAGGCTGGTTCCGGTGCCATTGTGGAGGAATGGCTGTGCCCTGTGGGGGCTGGGCTGTGCTGCTCCCAGGTTGAGCTGCTTCCTAGGAGACAGAAGCAAACACAAGTCAGAATAAAGGGTAATGGAGCTGAGAGAACCAAAACTCATCTAAAGAGGCAGTCCACGTTGTTCTGGGAAGGCTGCTGGCTCATTGATTTCTATTTTCTTGCCCTGTTCTCTAAAACAAGCATTGCCAGAGAGTGCATATGCTTTGCTTCAGCGGAACCAAAACCAATCAGCACATAGGGAGATGTGACCCAATAAAAACTTTATGCACTCAGAGTCCCATTCATGGGAGTTATTTCCTCAAATTAGTCCACTGCTAACAAAAGCTAATTTGTGCCCCAAACAAAAACAGTCCGGTAATTGGTAATGCAACAGCCGTGAGGTCTGCCTCCCACACAGTCAACAGACATTTGATGACTTGATTAGATAAAATATTATGAGTGACATGATTCTAAAGTGGACATTGCACAAACAAAAACAGGGAGGCAAAAATCCCTTTTACATATCAAAAAAAAAAAACAAGTGTTATGGCCAGTACCAGACCCTCTCACCATCCCACCCCATAACCATCCTCCAGATCCGTCACTCATCCCAAGGCCTGGGCAGCATCTCCTGAGCAGACTCTGCCTCCTGTCTCTTCCCTCTCCAAACAGCAAATACATAACTGCTAAATTAATTTTCTAAAAGACCTGCCACCCTCCTGTCCACAAAAGTTCAATAAATTCCCATTATCTACAGGTTAAAATTCAAACTCCTGTAGCTGGAAGCCAAAGGTCTCCACATATTCCACAGACAGAAATGCCAGTTCACAACCCCTGTGCGGTGTGCTAATGGAAGACCACATGTAGGTAGCTGTAGGAAGCTTCCTCTCCACTCCACTTTTTTTTTCAAATGTTTTTGGACAAGACCCACAAGAAGGAATACATATTTTACTACAACACAGCACACAGACATGCAGCAGAAACAAAGTGCCACAAGTCAACACTTACCTTCCTGAGAAACTCCTATTTCCTATTCTACCCTATTCTTAAACAATTTTTAATGAGGGACAACAGCCTCTATACTGATTTCACCATCCACTAATGGGTCACAACTTGCAGCTTGAAAAGCAAAAGCCTAGGGCTGGGGATGTGGCTCAAGCCGTAGAGCGCTCGCCTGGCATGCGTGC